AATAATAATTTCCAATTTAAACTTACAAATAAAGTAGTTCATGCATATATGTTAGATGAAACTCTTCTTTTGTACACGTAACACTTTCGATCAACCATTTACTCGAGTTGAGATTTATTGAAATATTCGATTTAATGGATTGAGTTTGCAATGTTAAACTCAGTGGTCAATTATAGTTATGTATTATAAATTTTATTTAATAATCTAAATATGAGTACTATTAATCATTGATTTATATAACATTTTTTAGTATTTCTATTGTTTAATCTTTAACTTTTTAAAAATTCATTTATTTTAGGAGCACAATCTAAATTTTGTACTAATGGAGGTGCAATCATTTCCAATTGTTTTCATTTTTTCATTCATAGGCATGTTGCGTCTCTAACCAGTTCCATAAGGGGTAAACTTCTGCATTTGCATGCATACTCCTTTTTCATTTCGATACTTTTCATTTCATGTCATAATTCATTCTTTTTCCTTTTTTTACATATACTTACCAATCTCAATATGAAGTTATCACATTTATATGTACTATATTGTAACAAATTCATTTGGTGTTTCTAAATTTAATGTAAAGCATCATTTATTAGGATTAACTATTATACATGTAAGATAATGTAAATAATGTATTAATAAATGCACAGAATAAAAATTAAATTGTAAGTGCTATAATATATAATGTAATGACCCACTTCACTTCTTTTTGTGAGTTGAAACTTTTCAAATATCTTGAGTTCTTTAATGATCCTCCTTAGTATGCTACCTAATGATCAAGGACATAATTACATTAATCTATGCTGCTATTTTAAAATTATATTTACAATAAATTTCTAATTAAATTTTCTTTAACATATTTAACTTTTACCTAAACTTTTCCCGAGAGCACTTGCTTTCTTCCACTATTTTTCCTTGGCTATACAACTCAATTATTCCAATGTTTAAAATTATGTTAATTGCATTAAGTACTATAAATATTAATCATGAAGAATTCGATCGTCATCAAGACTAGGCTGAACACATCAGATATCATAAAAAAATAATGTCAAATGAATCAAACGTCGTCAAAGACAACTTCGAATATCTCTAGATTATTAAGTGATATTTGTATTATAAGTGTTTATACTCCTCAAGTAGGTCTGAATATGAGTTCAAAATTAAAATTTTGGAATGAATTTGAAAAATTAATACAAAAGATACCTCTTGAAGAAAGAGTTTTTATTGTAGGAGATTTAAATGAATATGTTGGTAGAGAGGTAGATGATTTTAAAAGCATTCATGGTGGTCATGGTTTTGGAATGACAAATTAAGGTGGTAAGACCATATTAGATTTTTCTTTAGCTTACGATTTATTAATAGCGAATATCTTATTTAAGAAAAGAGATGAGCATCTAATCACTTATAAAAATGGATATAGTAAAATGCAGATTGATTATTTTCTTATATGAAAATTAGATCGTTTAGATTGTAAAGTTATTCCGCGTGAAAATTTATGTATCCAACATCAATTATTAGTTTTGGACTTTAAGTTAAAGGGGCATAAAATAAAAAAAATAAAGTAAAATGATTTTCTAGGATTAGATGGGGGCATTTAAAGAATCTTAATAAAAAAATTTTTGAGAGTAAGATTTTAGATCTTAAGATTTTTTGTCTGTGCATAAGGATACTAATATTATGTGCGAAAAGTGGCTAGTGATATTAAGAATATATTGCAAAAGATGTGCTTGGATTTTCGAATGGAAAAACTCATAATAATAAAAATAGTTGGTGGTGAAATCCAAATGTGTAAGAAAAGATAAACAATAAGAAAATTTGTTATAAAAATTGATTTAGATGTAAAATTCTGATAATTGGGAAAGCTATAAAGAGGCTCGTAAGGAATCTAAGAAAGATATTTGCGATGCAAAGAGCTTAGTTTTTAATGATTTATATAATATATTAGATACTAAGGAGGGAGAAATATATATGTATAAGTTAGCCAAGCAAAGAGATGAGAGTAGTAAAGATTTAGTTCAAGTGAAGTGTATTAAGGATGGAGATAAAAAAATACTTTTCTTATAAGATGATATTCAACAAAGGTGAATGAGATATTTTCTAAACTTTTAATGAAGATTGTGAAAATACGATTGACTTTAGTGACTTTAGCACCCTAAATGAAAATAAAGATTTTTGTTTTTATTAGTGTATTAGTAAAACCGAAGTTAGAGAGGTTTTAAAGAAAATGAAGTATGAAAAAGCTGTTGGACCTGATGATATTCTAATAGATATGTGGAAATGCTTAGGAGATGAAGGAATTTTTTGACTTACTAAACTTTTTAATACCTTTTTAAAGACTAAAAAGATGATAGATCAGTGGAGAATGAGTGTGTTAATTCCTATTTTTAAAAATAAAGGCGATGCACAGGAGTGTGCGAATTATAGAGGAATTAAGTTAATGTGTCATACTTTAAAACTATGGGAGCGCGTTATGGAGCGTAGGCTGCGGCGTGATACTAATGTTTCTCAAAATCAATTTGGATTCATGCCGGGTAGGTCTACTATGGAAGTCATACATTTATTGAGAGGTTTAATGGAGAAATATAGAGAGAATAAGGAGGATCTACATATGATTTTATTGATTTAGAAAAAAAAACATATGATAAAGTTCTAAGAGAAGTGTTATGGAGAGTTCTTGAAAAGAAAGAAGTTAATAACGCATATATTCAAATCATTAAAGATATGTATGCATGAGCTATTACTTGTGTTCAAACACAAGGTGGTTTGACCTAGTATTTTCCTATTTCGGTTGGATTACATCAAGGATCAGCCTTAAGTCCATATCTTTTTTGCTTTAGTCATGGATGTTCTCACTAGATACTTGCAAGAGGATGTACCTTGGTGTATGCTTTTTGCTGATGATATTCTTCATGTTGATAAGACTAGAGATGGAGTTGAAGGTAAACTTGAATTATGAAGGTCAACCGTAGAGTTTAAAGGTTTTCGCTTGATTAGATTTAAAACTGAATATATGGGGTGTAATTTTAGTAGTAATATACCTAGTGAGGGGATTGTGACTTTGGGCGATCAAGTTATTAATAAGAGTACACGTTTTAGATATCTTGGATCTACTATGGTGAAATAGATGGGGATATTATCGGCATAATTCAAGTTGGTTGGTAGAAGTGGATGAATGCATGGGCTTGTTGTGCGATAGAAAAGTCCTCCTCAAACTTAAGGGAAAATTCTATAAGATGGTGGTGAGACCTGCAATGCTTTATGGTGCCGAATATTGGCCATTAAAAGAGAAGCATAATACTAAATTAAGTGTTGCAGAGATGAGGATTCTTAGGTGGATGAGTGACTTTACCCTTAGAGATAAGGTACAAAATGAGCGTATACGTGAAAAGGTTGGAGTAGCTCCAATGGAAGATAAGATTAGAGAGAGTTACCTTAGATGGTTTGGTCACATTAAACGGAGGCCTTCTGATGACCCAATTAGGAAAGTTGAGGCATTAGATTTGACTTATGTTAAGAAAGGTAGAGGTAGACCTAAAAAGACTTGATTAGAAAATATTAGAAATGATCTTTCTCTATTAGATTTAAAAGAGAATTTGACTTTTAACAGGGCACAATGGCGAAAAAGGATTCATGTAGCCAACCCCACATAGTGGGACAAAGGCTTGATGTTGTTGTTGTTGTTGTATTGTTTGTTATATTATATTCAAAATGATTGAAATGATTTTTTAAATATCTTGCATTGATTACCTCTAATTTCCTTCCTCCTTGATGGGTTGAGATTGTACAAATCACTGTTTATTTTTCTTCTTCTCTGTTGAACAAAAGGGTTATTCAGTCAAAATGGAAATCATGAATTTCTTCCTTATGTTGAACAAAAAATCACTTACTCTTCCTCTATACAAATTTCTCCTCTTCTTCCCTCTGATTCAACTGCTAGAAATCTTCTCTTTCTTTCCTGAACATGATTCAATTGAATAACTCAAATTTCCTTTTGTTTCTAACCAAAACTGCCGATCTCTTACAATGGCAACCTCTGAAGTGGGTTGGACTTGAATGCAAAATAGATGAACGAACTTCTATCCCTTGTCGAACAAAACTTCATGAACTTTTTATCTTCTCCTCCTTCCTATCGATTGAGCACAATTTTTTGTGGAATGCAAAATCCCCACAAACTCTTCTTCCTCAAGTGAACAAATGCACACACACTCTGCATTAGCCTTTTCGAAATGAATCAAATTCAGTCTTCAACTCACAAATGGAGTCACGTCTCTTCACCCCTAGAGCCATCCTTGTGACCCCTTGCTCGGTTCGCCCCCCCTCACTCGTGTTGCCGTTATCGTTCGCGTGCTTTGCTCGCTCTAAGTATTACGTCACATGGGTTCTATCATACTCGGAGAGTTCTCTTGCAGTGCTCTTCTCCTTTCATGTGTGATATTTTGAAGCCTTTTCAAGGTTCTAAATATTCTATTACATGAATCATAAAGACTTTAGGACCAAATTCTAAGTCACCTTTTCATTTGTTGATGGCACAAAATTAGCAATTGAACCTTTCTCCTCTTATTTGCATAGACCAAAATTAGGCAAATGCACATCCCTTTTTGAACACCTAAAGTTCAAAGGATTTTCCTCGAAGTTGCAACTTCTTTTCTCCTTCTATGACTAAAAAATTGTATAAAATTCCTCCATTCACTTAGCCTAAATTATGTGATGTGTATCTCTTTCTTTGAACACCAAATGCTCAAAGAAATCCCTTCAATTTGCAACCTATAAGTTGCACATTGCTCAAGTTGAAAAGTAAACTTGGGTACTTTTTGGAATTTAAAGCACTACTCTTAAAATGTGCAATTCATTTGTGCGAGGAACTTGTCTATTATATTATTAGTACCAAACGCAATTCATAATGGAACGGTGAAGAAGATTTAAAGAGCCGATCCTAAATTAGTTGAATATTTCTGCTTCTGTTGCTATTGTTGTTGTTGTTGATAATCTATTTTTGGTTCTTGTAGGTGATGGATATCTCTGACCTTTTGTTTGATCATATCACTAATATCAATTTCAACGAGTGGAATGACTTGCCTTTGGTCAGTCAAAGTGTGAGTTATTTGTTTAGTTTCTTCCTGTTATTATTATTTTTTTCTCTTATTGTTTTTAGCATGTTAAATTTTTTTTTTGTTAAAAATGTGTGAGTTTTTTGTTTGGTCACCCTCTTCCCTCCCCTGTTTTTTTAAAGGTAAAAGCCCGTAGCAGTAAGCTTAGTAGATCAATTAATGGGTTTACAGATTCTGCTTGTGGCAAGTCTTCCAGAGGTAGAAAGAGAAAGAGGCCAAGTTGCAAGTAAATTTGCTGACCTAATGATCTCCTATTGGTTGCTTCACCTTTATTTTTTTACTGCGACATAAATTTCTGTTTTTAGAATTTTGTAATGTAGAAGGTTCCTTATGAATTGCATTACCAACGTTCTTTCCCTTACATTTTTTTAGATAAGAAGATGATATTGAGCAAATACAAAAAAATACTTTTTCTTTTTCTTATAACATTGAAATGTTGCTTGCATATAATGAGGTCTGATTTATTCTATCATGTAAAATATAATATAAATAAAAAGAAGGGAAGTTATTATTTTGTGTATAGTGAATGAGGAAAGATCTGCATCATCATTATCTCATACAGCCATACTTGTGTATTTTGAGTTGCAACAAGGGGAATACCTGACAAAGAAGCGTGCTCATGACTTAATTTTGTGGCATGTATTTTTCAAAATAGTTCTTTAGGAATACCATTTGTTATTTTTTTTTGTTGGAATTTGTAGCATGAACTTTGAGGAATGTTTTTTTGTTGCAATTTTGGCCCCTTAGATGAAGTTATTAATATGGTTTCATCTATTTTTGACTAATTTATACTTGAGTTTAATTCAAGCAGAAATATACTGATTATCTTCTGCAATGAGTTATATTGGCAAGTGCAAAGTGTTCAAAATATTATCCAAAATTTGTGTTTGTAATTTGAATTTATCGCATGTAACATTGCATGTTCTCTTGCTATGATTGTAAATTAGTTAACCATGGACAAACAAGTATCATAGCTCCAAATTGTGAAGATTCTTTTCTATTTTTAAGGGAAAGTGCGTGATTTTTTTCATACGGTTACCAAAAAAAAAAAAAAAACAGACTTGTTTCCTTGTTTAGGAATGTTCTGAAGTTGTTGGCATGGCTTTTTTGAGAATTTTACCCTTTTAATATTACATTTTTATTTTTGCATTGAGATGCTTAGTTTTAATTATTTCCATTTGTCTTTATTTCCTGGAATTTGTATTGTATCTTTGCAGCATTGAGGACATGCATGCTGATTCTATAGGAGAAGCAGCGCTGCAGAAATCAAATCTAGATATTATTAGCCTGGGCACATGTTATGGCAGGGATGGGATTACTTTCGAGGTGAAGGCGATTGGACGATTCGTAGCACTATTTAAAAATATCTAAAATTTTATGCCTTGTCTTCAAGAAACATCTTATTGATTTGTTCAAGTATTTTCTACTCATACTTTGTTTCTTGATAAATATTTATGTGTATTACTGACTTCCTGGGCATGTATTATAACTGCATCAGTGTATGGGAACATTAATTCCTGTTTGTTTGACCATTTTGCAGGATATTGAGGCAAACCCTGAGAATGGCGATAGGAATAGCATACATCGTAGCTCTAAATTACCCTATATCACTGCCCAACAATATGCTTCTCGTAGTGCAGTATTATCATCCCTGGTTGTTTCCTGGTCCCCAGTATTGCAATCTTCTGAAACGTGCTGTGCTATACTTTCTGCTGGTGCAAAATCGGGTGCAGTTTCTTTTTGGAGGATTTGTGAGCCCCAATACTTTACTATAAAGCATGGAAACATTCCTGTGAATGCAATGCTCATTGGTCTTATTCAGGCTCATAATTCATGGATCACTGCAATTTGTTTTGCCATTTCTGCTGCTAGTTCTTTAAAGTCTCAGCTGTTCTTGGCCACTGGCTGTTCCGATGGAAGGTAAAGCTGTCAATAAATATTGATGAATTTTTGTTACATTATTATTTTTTATTTTTTATCTGTTATTTTGCACAACACGGCTTTTGTCAAGTCCGCCATTGATGAGAAAAGTAGAGGATTGTGTTAGGTAGTTGATAGCTAGCATAAAATTCTTGAATAATCATGGCATAAATTATTTAATGCATTGTGTTAATGTTAGGGTGTTCCCCAAAAGTGATGCGCTATATGTCCTGAATACAACGAGAAGTTTGTAAGGGTCGCTGCACTGGCGCCCAAGTGTAATGTTAAATAAGTAAGGGTTCCTACAACATGTACTAATGTGGGCAAAGAAGATAGTCCATGAAACTAGAATTAGGACATAAACTTGAAATATAAGTCCACTTATAGGCAAATTAATGAAATTAATAGATAATATGATTCATTAAAAGATAAATATTCTATGTATTCAGGGAACTAAAAAGATGTTATGTTGGAGAGAAGATTAAGGAGATTGATAGTTTAGGATTTAAACTATTATATTCAGGTATGAGTCGTACTAAAAATGATGTAGACGTGATTATAAAGAAGAGTTTGAAGGATAATGTTATAGAAATGAATAGAATTGGAGATAAAATTATAGCTTTAACAATTGTTGTTGATGTTAAAATTATTAATATTATAAGTGCTTATGCTCCTAAAATATGTTTGTATTTGTGTTCAAAAATTAAAATTTTGGAATGACTTAAAAAATTAATACAAAAGATTTCATTGGAGGAAATTTAAATGACATGTTGATAGAGTGATAAAAGATTTTAAGAGCATTCGTGGTGGTTATGGGTTTAAAGCGACTAATGAAGATGGTAGGACGATATTAGATTTTTCTCTAGTTTATGATTTTGTAATTGCTAGTACCTTATTTAAGAAAAGAGATGAGCATTTCATTACTTATAAGAATTTGTATAATAAAATTCAGATTGATTATTTTATTAAGATTGTAAATTCAGATTTATTATTTTGGGTAAATGTTTATGTACCCAATATTGCTTATCAGTATATGAAAATAAAGTAAAATATTATTTTAGGATTAGATCACGGCATGTAAAAGCACTAATAAAAATATTTTTGAGCATACGATTCAAGATCTTAAGATTTTGACTGTGCATGAGGAAGCTAATATTATGTGGGAAAAAGTAGCTAGTAATATACTAATATTAAGAATTTTGCAAAGGAAGTGCTTAGAATATCAAAATAAAAAATCCTAATTATAAAAATAGCTGGCGGTGGAATCAAAATGTGTAAAAAAAGATAAAAAATAAGAAACTTTATTATAAAAATTAGTTTAGATGTAAAAGCTCAAAAAATTGAGAAAGATATAATGTGACCCATTAGCCGTTTAAGAAAGCAATATGCGATGTAAAAAATTTAGCTTTTAATGATTTATATAATATATTTGATACTAAAATGTTGAATATTGTATGTATAAGTTAGCCAAACAAAGAAATAATAGAAGAATTTTGTTCAAGTGAAATACTTTTATTATAAGAGGATATTAAACAAAGGTGGTGTGAGCTCTGAAAATTTGCGCCTTTGCTTTGACATGCTTATGTTTTGTCGACGGGGAGAGTTTTAATCAGTTTAGGTTCCGGGATAAAATTTCAGAAGGCATGCTAGATTTTGATAAGACACTACCTAGAGATTTCACCCTCATTTGATAGGACTTTATAATTTAGGATCTAGTTTCCCATATGCAAAAGCCACTATAGTTAATCATCCCTCCCGATAATGAGAGAACATTTTCGATTAAAATTAGTCGTTATATGGGTCGCAATAATAATAATAATAATAATAATAATAATATATTTGTTTAATTTTAGGGTTTGAATTGGATTTTGGATTTTGAAATTTATCACAATTTACTCAAAGCGGATGGTTAGGGAACAATGACTGGCCTGATCAAGATTCTATGGTTTCATCATCCCGGGCTATCATGATCGTTAATTGTTGAAGGATATAACTTCTCTTGAAAATCTTCAAGTTTCCCACTTGATCAAGGAGCAGATTGATTATCAAGAAAACAAGGAGCAGATTGTTTCTTCTACCTGACTGAACCCCTTTTAATAATTATGAAATTTCATCAGATTTCTCTATACGTTGAGTAAATAGCTGTCGAAAGTACACAGTTCAAACTAGAAATGAAAAAAATCTAGGAATCTTGTTAGCAACACTAAATGTCAGGAATCCACGTAGAACCCACTTACCGTTGAAGACCAGAAATCTTGCTAGGTACTAGGATTGGGAAACAAAAGGATATTCACCTGATAAATGTGGACTAATATAACCATCCATTGTCAAGGAAACAAACTTTGTTGCATATATGACAGAAACAAAGAATCCAGGAGAAATCAATTGAACTTTAGGTCAACTTTCATCTGCATAAACCCACTCTCAATAGGATATTCACCTGGTAAATGTGGACTAATTTAACCATCCATTGCCAGCTTTAAAACTCTGTTTTATTTTCTATCAAATTGCATTATTGATACATTCAATTTGTATAGAGGCTATCTATCATCTGGCATTCTTGTCTTGGAATTTTTCTGTAGATAAGGTTAGTGCTTCTTTAGCAATCTAATTCTTTTGAATAGTAGTTTTGCAGAATCTCTGAATATTGTTTCATTTTCCATTTAATTTCTAATATTTGATGAAAGTTTTCATTGGGCGTGTGGCCAGTGGTATTTCCCATCAGCAGGGAAGTTTGGGCTTTTAATCCTGTAAAAAAAAAAGAATGAAAAAAGATGCAAGCTTCTATTTGGAGGAAAACTTGTTGCTGTGACTTTTTTTGGTCCATTTCAGCGACCAAGTCATAGGTTTTGTAAATTATGATCTGACCAATGTGTCTTCATTACTATTAGAATCAAGCTCTATAGTTTGATTATTACATTAGCACGAGTTGCTAGTTTTCTTATCTTTCCTATTTCCCAAATCAATTCTGTTAATAATATACCAATGGTGAAATGGTCTTTGATTGCCAGTGTGAAGATTTGGTCCGGCAATGTTGAAGGATTCCTATCGGCAGCAGAGTTTAAGAATGATTGCTTTTTATTATTAGCAGAGGTATCATTTTCATGATCAGAGATTTTTTATTCATTTCACGTAACATTTAACTTGCATATTTTGATATCTAATCTCACTCCCACTCCTTGCACTGTAGGTGACAACTGCAACATCTGTTCCTGTTTCGACAATTGCTTTGGTTATTTCAGCTAAATCTCCAGAGCAAGTTTTTTTAGCTGTAGGAAGAGGAGCTGGACAGTTGGAAGTGTGGATCTATGATATATTAAGCAAGAAACTTCGTTTTGTTGCTGACTATAATGCACACGAACAAGTGGTATGTTTACAGTTGTTAGGAGTCTGTTCAAATTTTTTTAAATTTTTAATGCTGATATATTTGTGATATTCTCATAGGTAACTGGTTTGGCTTGGGCTTTTGATGGTTGTTGCTTGTATAGTTGTAGTCAGGTATGAAACTCTTAGAAATTTGAAGTTCTCAGTTTCAAAAATATAAGATTGTTTAGTTTTCTTATATTTCATCTGATGGTTATTTTCTATTATATGTATCGACTCTTTTTCAAATTTATTCTCAAACGATAGTCTAGTTTTCTTCCTACGTGGATATCTTATCAGTTTTTCATTACATGTTAAGTAATTGTGTTCATTTGGATTTGCTCTTATTTGTTTATTATTATTATTATTACTATTATTATTTTTATTGAGATGAACATTTGGTGGTAGCTTGATTGGCCTTGCCCAATGCCATGGCATTGCATTGAGAGGTTGGACCAACTCATGTTGAAAGAGCATGTGATGGGTGTCATGACTTTGCCATAAGGCTTCAATTAATGAGTCAGAAATTGACCGTTGGATTGATATTTAAAATTCGTTCATTAACATTTAGTAATAATAAACTATTTCCAACATATTGAAACAACAACAACAACATCAAGCCTTTATCCCATTACTTGGGGTCGGCTACATGAATTCTTTTTCTCCATTGTGTCCTATTAAAAGTCAAATTCTTGTTTAATTTTAAATTTTTAATAGAGAAAGATCATTTCTAATATTTTCTAACCAAGTCTTTTTAGGCCTGCCTCTACCTTTCTTAACATAAGTCAAATCTAATATCTCTACTTTCCTAATCGGATCATCGGAGGCCGTAGTTTTAAGTGATCAAACCATCTAAGACGACTCTCTCTAATCTTATCTTCTACTGGAGCTACTCCAACCTTTTCACGTATATGCTCATTTCGTATCTTATCTCTAAGGGTAAAGCCACTCATCCACCTGAGCATCCTCATCTTTGCCACACTTAACTTAGTATCATGCTTCTCTTTTAATGACCAACATTCGGCACCATAAAGCATTGCAGGCCTCACCACCATCTTATAGAAATTTCCCTTAAGTTTGAGGTGTACTTTTTTATCACACAACAAGCCCAATGCATTCTTCCACTTAAACCATCCAACTTGAATTCTGTTGATAATATCCCCATCTATTTCACCATCACTCTGAACAATAGATGG